GATCAAAGCTTTTTTTGTCCTGCAACCAATTGCAAGTGGTCAGCAGTTAAAACAGGAGGATGAAGTCCCACAAGTCTCCAAATTCTGGGATTTGGATAACTGTGTGCAGAGACTGAAGCATTTGTATCCATCTTCAGCCAGACATGCCAAGTGGATCACTACCACTTGAGGCCCTAGCACCACAGATGCCAGTTTGCAAACTAGATTGCAGTATCCATTGTCTCCATACTGATGTGAAAGGCCATGGGCTCAACAACAACATTTCAGCAATGCAGTCCTGAAACCTGCTCTAGGACCAACCGCCTTAGCCAAAAGGCAGTGGCATGGTAATGTCAGAGTGGCAATTCAAATTCCTGGTTAGTGTTCAAATCCCATTATGGCAGATGGTGAATTCAGTGGTAAATTCTGGAATAGGAGCTAGTTAATGGAACTATGGAGCCACTTGAAAACACATGTGCATTTGGTTCATTAATGTCCTTCAGTGAAAGGCATCTTCCATCCTTACCCATCTGGTACAGATGGACTGTAGACCTCACTGCTATTTAGTTAACTCTTTACTGCCCTCTGAAGAGCATCTCTATTCCAGGGCAGTTGTGGATGAAAGTTACACTGGTACCTACCTGGACAAGTTAACCTATCTTGTATGTTGTGTGTACACAACAAGGACAAAACCAACCCAGCCAGTTACTACATTGTTAATCTTCAGGTGGAAGCTTAAGACAGTCCTGTTCCCTAGAGAGCACTGTCAAGCGTGAACTAAAGGGTATGACAAGGGGTTAGTAGGGAGTGGGGGGTTGGAAGTGAAGGCAAAAACTTCACTGGTTGCTGTCATCTATACAAAAAACCACAGGTTATAGTTGGGAGGTCACCCTCGGAAATCAGGAGGCACTCCACCTTTTGAACTTGTTCTACCATTCAAATATGCTGATCTACTAGCTATTTTCCTGCATTCTCATCTCTGGATGGATTTAAAACAAAACCAAAAAATCCAAATCAAGTCTTGAACATGTAGGGCTGAGAGTTTTAAAATCTGCTACCTCCTAGCCCAAAAACAGGAATTACCTGAAGGATGACAACTCTGGAATGGATGACTCCAGAGTGCATCAGATGCTGGGACGGGAAAAAAAAGTTGGAGTTAGTCATGGTTGAAGGGTATTTAAGAGGGGAAAAAAGCAGCCAGGATGAGATCAACCAAGCTTCTATTGAACCAACACAGCAAGCTGAAGGGGCTGAAGTTGCCTCCCCATTCCTGGTTTTTGGTATTCCTCTGTCATGAGGACAAGGCAACCTGCAATGCTCCAAGAGTGGTCTCACTGGAGGTACTACAAATTGCATGGAGTCACCTTTATTACAGGGGGAATTGTGATTATAAAATAAAAGTGGAGATGTAGGTAAAGCTGGTCAAATAATAAAATGTGGATAGGAGCTGCCAAAGTTCCTCAAAGAACTAAGACTTGATTTGCAGGAAGCTCACATGCCCTCTAGGTGAGGTTAGATATGCTAGGAAAAGTAATTCCTCAATGTAAAAACTTGAGTACTGTATTCAAGCCTTGAAGTTAAACATTCCTATTTACAAGCACAGCCAAGAGGGAATTAAAAAAAGCAACAGAATTTGAAATTTAAGCAATTAGCAGTTCACTTCAACAGACAAGCTAGTCATGGATCACTGTAGATGGAGTTCTTTCCTCCTACCTCTCTAGTCAGTTTATAACTAAAAAATATAGGATGACCCTTGCTCAGGTGATAACTTCAAACTGTTCTGAGGAAGGGTCACTGGACCCAGAACAGTGACTCTTTTTCCCTGCAGATGCTGCCAGACCTGCTGGGCTTTTCCAGCAAGTTTGTTTCAAACTCTATGGAATGCAGAGAGGATTTAGTTCCTTACCCTTTGCCACATTTGGGACTTGGATTATCAGACAGAAACATGGGGAGAAAGGTCATGAAGTCTTCTCCGTGTGGTCTCTCTTTTCCTTCTTGGGAAAGTGGGCGGCAGCGAACACAAGAATCCTCTTCAACTACAAAAAAAAGCAGAGGACAAGTTTGCTCCTTTCCAGAGGTTTGGGTGGAGTCCTAATTTTCCTCCCCACCTTCACCTCAAGGACTAGATAGCACATTGGTTTACAATGGGAGATGCACAAACTGCAGATGGAGGTCAATTGATGCAGCATGGAAGAACACAGCAGCTTGGGTGGGCTGGTCGGTTGGCTGGCCGGCCAGCCATTGTTGAGTCAGGACCTTTCAGGTTGACCAGGCTCCTCTGATGCTGCCTGACCTGCAGTGTCAAGCTAGAGGAACACAAAAAAAACCAACATTATATTTAAAAAACAACCAAAACCAATGCTGGGCCAGGGCTTAAGTCAGGAGATCCAAAATGGGACCAGGAAGAGTTTACCCAATGCCCCAAAAAAAAGGTACCATAAACTCACTCCCTTTTTAAACACCTTTGCACAGACTATTGATGAGTGAAGGTTTTAGTATAGTATAGTCCCATCCATTCTAGGATGGAGGAGTCAGTGCTTTTAGACCAGTACCAAGTTGAAGTTGTTAACTATACCATTTTCAAGTGTTACTTGGAGACCTTCAGTTGGAATCATGGCAATGAATTTAATTGTGGATATCGTTCCAAGACATGTCCAGAGTCTACAGTAAAAGTGAATTAAAGCTACCTGTTTTGCTGTAGGCCCTGGGTCTTTGAAGTGACTGACCTGGAGTTATTGGTTTGATGGTTTTTTGAAAGCCATCTGATCTACTCAAGTTTAATTCAGCACAAAACCCATTTTTCTTTTCAAAGAGAAAAAAGGAAGATTAGTCTTGCAGAACGCTTGCTCAAGAAACAGAGTGCAGTGACTTGACCACATGCTAGTCCACAGTAAACTCCAGAACATGCTATACATTGACTTCAGGCAAGGCCAATGCTTCTTAGAAATACTTGGCTAGAAAGCCAGCCAATATAGGCCAAAACATCTTTCATCCTTGTCCCCAGGGCTTTAGGGCTAGAGAAATATTGGTGTATTAGAGAGTGTAGCAGAAAGTGTAATAATTACTTGGTCTTGATAAGACCATGTTTATGAAGTGTAGTTATAAAAACCTGAAGTGAGGTATTTAGTGGATCATTTGACACTAAAGATGTGACCAGTACAACTATTCACTGTTTCAACCTCAGTTGAAACAAAGATTATAGCCAAGTAGCCCAATTCACAATACCCTAAACAGTCTACAGTTTACTTGAAATTTGATTGGCTCTTAGCCAATTGGAGCAGGATTACAATGTCTCAAATTTCCACCTGTGCAAGGTGCTGCTTTTAAAAAGAAAGTCACCCCAATGGCCTCGTATCCCATACATCCTTTAGGAGGAAAATACTTTATCTACTTGCAAAAAAATGCAGTGTGTTCCCTACAGTGGCTAAGCCAAAATTAGTCAAAAAGGCAGTCACCTGAAGCATTGCAGAACCTCTCTGTAGTGTTGTAGACTCTGCAACAGGAGGATTGTGGCTTCACCCAGTCAAAGTAATCATCAATCCATGATGATGGTGGAAAACCAATTCTTGTACTGAGGGGAAAAAAAAAAAAAAAAAAAAAAAAAAAAGTTATTTATATAACAAACAGACTGGAAAAACCTCAAAATCCAAATTGTCTTTGTGGAGACAGTACAATTGCAGATTTTGTGACTGGTTAGACCCAAACTGGAATTGTCCAGAATTGGTCACCAAGTCTTTAAAAAGGTACAAGAGGATTTACTCAAACATTTGAAGTCAAAAAGGGTCTGTTTATGCCACATGACTGGTTCATAACATTTGAACTATTGTTTGTTCCATCTCCACTGATTAAAAAAATCAGCCTAGGAAAGAAGCAGATTAGTTCAATCCAAGGGTAGAATGTTTCTAGTTGGAGTGGAGATTGTCCCTCAAATTACATTTCAACTTAGACCTTTGAACAACTTCGGAGTAGCCCACTGTACACAAGTCGATAGAATGCTATTTGTCCGCAGTGCCTAGTTGGCAGCAAAGCTAGCCAAGTGTATCCCAAAGTCTCAGTCCAATCAATTGCACTGTTTTGGCTGAAGCCACATTTTAAAAGAGAAAACACATAACAGAACATTACAAAATATCTACCCTGGATGGATGGTAAAGAAAGTTTGTTTTGCTGGCTATAGCTGGGGATTGTATGATTGATAAAGATGCTAGGCATACAGCAATGCCCTTGATTAAAATACTTACTAGTTGTCTAGCAGAGCAGCAGTGTAAATTTGTTGGACAAGGGAGTCATTGTTACAACCAACACCACCACACACTGCATTTTGTCCTTCTAGAGAAGTGTAATCATGTCCTTTTTCTATCACAAAGTAGACAGGGGGGCCTGCATGCAAGTACTCAGCCATAGATTTAAAATAGTGCAGAACATATGAATCCTGGAAAAGTAGAGTAGAGTAATCTAGTTAGTTCAGAGAATACACTACTACAGCAATTGATGAACATTAAGGGTGTACTTACATCTGGCATTGAATAACTCTGATTCAGTCCAATCTCAACTTTATTTAATGCTGCAATACTGAATGCCAGGAGACCAACAAAGACAGATATCTATGGAGAAAAACAATTCAATGTTGATGGCTTAGCTATAATAAATACAAGATTAACCTTAAAATCCAGGTGATTAGTCTAATAGTTAATTCTCAAGCAAGTTTTTTTTAAAAACCAGCATTACTCAGACAGGTAATGTTACTAGGGGTAGCCCAGAGGAACTTCCCAACAATTCTAGGACTCCATTCCCATTGAACATCTAACCAAATATCTTAGACATGGCCATGCCTAATTTAGTTTGAACATAACCTGGTGGCTCAGGCTGACTCTGCTCATGATAAACATTGATACAGTGAGAAGCAAGAATCTCTTCCACACATGCAGCCCAAACCCCACATCTAGTGGGAAAAGAGAAACTTATTCAAACAGCTTTATCATCCTTTGTCTTGGGGCTACTTGATTTGAAAAAGCCAATTCTAATTTTAATCCATTACTAAAATGGCTAGTTTTTGCTCTTTGCCACTGCTCTGGAAGAGACTTCCCTCAGGATTCTTCTTTTAAAAGAAGCAATGTTAAGTGGCCTTACTGTTTTTATGTAAAAGTATTTCCAGAATTATGAATAATGTCAGTAATATTCCAAGTCTTGGACTGTGGTCACATTTCAGAGTTAGTCAAAACATTGATGTGACAAACCATTAAGCTCCCAAATTTCAGTGAAGTCTTGCAGTCTGGCTGCTCCAAGGTTTACCCCTTGACTGAGGTCTGTTAGAAGTCAAATCCAGCCAAGGTTACTGTTAACAATTAGCATGAGGCCCCTTACAAAAAAAAGGTGCATCAGAAATCAAAGGCAAGCCCTTATTACCTGTCTGTAAAGGGAGAAGAGATTCCCCTGTATTTGTGGAATAGAAATAAAATGTGGTGCTTATTAGCTCAGAAAAGCTGTAGAATATGACAAGTGGTAGAATCCTTAGAAATTTCTGACTCCTGACACTTACCACAACAGGCCGCATCCAGTTAGTTAATAGAAATGGTGCATAATGTTTGAAGACTCTGAAAAGCAGTTCTTCCGCATGACCACCAATGTTTTCTTGTTTCACACAGCACACAATATCCATACGTTTACTCTGAGTAGTAACAACACTTTGTTAGTTTTGTCTTGTCTCCTCTATCTGGTGAGATCTGCAACAGGTGCCAAAAAAGCAAGCTTAAAAGAAACGAGGTGCTGTGGTCAGAAAATAAATGCTTACATGATCTGTCAATGGTGGGTCTGGGCAGTTGAAGGGGGGGGGGGGGGGGGGCGGAGAAAAGAACCACAAAACAAGCCCATGACCTTCCAAGTTAAAAAAAAAGGAAGAAGAGTTAAAGTATCACAGTAGATGTGAACACCTTAACCTGCAAGTTCTCCAAACCACAGAAATGGTGGTATTTCCAAATCTGCATGCTGTCACTTGTCCAAATCCTGGAACTGCCTTCCCGACCAATACTACCCACAAGGACTACAGTAATTCAAGATGCAGCTCAATAACTTCATGGAGAATTAAGGATGGGCAATAAATACACAAGTTCTACAAAGTAGAACATCTACAGATTTGTAGAATGCACAGTCAGAATGAGAAGGTAAGGTGTGGCCTGTTGTAGGGCTGGAGAGGAGGAAAGAGGTATTAAAGAACCATAAAACAAAAAAAAGTTGTCAGACTATGGATCGCCACTCTGCTGCCAGTGTTTAGAAAATTAAAAAGATGGAAGCTGACTAGGACTCTGCTCAATCTAGTACCGAGACAACTCACCTCTTGGCGCTGTACATCCAACCCGAAGAGACTTACAAAGCAGGTTATCTGCAGTATAAAGTCTATAAGTACAGCCATTCCTGCAAAAAGGGAGAAGGTGCGGACTGCTGGCATTGTTGATAATGAACCTAAAAGTTGAACACACTAGGTGTTAATTCTAAAGTGTTTCCTGCCCAATAGATCTGCTCTAAAGATATCCTCCCATCTTACCATCTCACTTTAGATATCCTCCCATTTCTGTTAGACTTAAGTGTAATCAGTTCTGCACTAGTGACTGGTTATATTAAGGCATATTTGTATTTAGTAAATTTCATTGTTTTGACATTACACTTGAAACCCTACGCAGTACTTTCCTCCTTCGCTCAACTAAGCTTAAAATTTTAATACTGAAGATTGCAGTAAATCAGTCACATACCCAGAAAGAAGGCCACTGTCTCAGAGAAGGAGGAGAGGAATATACTTGGTGCAACTTCTCCCAAAACTCTACCAATCTGTTGGTCAATGGACTCATTCTGTAAACGTGTGTCTCTCTGAATGGAAGAAATGACACTTCATGCATACATGCAAGTAACTGCAGGTTAAAAAAACACTTGAAGCACAAGAATAGAATCAGTACCCGAAATGTCTGAACGATGATAAAGATGTTGTCTACACCAACTGCCAACACCAAAAAGGGAATGACTTCAATCACGATCAGCGTGAGGGGAACACCAGCATAACTGAAAATACCAAGAGAACAGGCCACGGAGCTTAGGACAATCACAATACCAGCAATTCCCAGTGAAATCTTGGAGTCCACCTACAGCAAGGTTACAATTTAAAAAAAAAAGACAGTAAGTCATTTGCAAACTTCAAACAAGCATTGAGAATCCTAAGAACACTACAACTGACAGCATTTGTGAAAAGGAATAGTTATGCTGCAAGTCGGCTATGCAGATTGGAAACATTGTTCAGTTCGAAAAAGTGTTGCCAGACCTGGAGATCTAAAGATATTTGCTTGATAGTGTGCCTTACATTGCTCTTGTTTTAACTTTAAAAACATTTTAGTCTGTTGGAGACTGCAATACTAACCATTTAATCCAAACTATTTCAAATCCAGAAGCTAGCCTTCATCACTAGGGTTGTATCAAGTGTCAAAGCAAAAAAAGTGGTAAACGACAAGATGATTGATAAAGGCAAGGCAGTAGCTGTCTACATTGAGACTTTAGCAAGGCCTTAGATGAGGATTCTCATGGCAGGCTGATACAAAAAGATGGATCTGTGGTGAATGACTAAGATTGATACAAAACAGATAGTAGGAACTGCAGATGCTGGAGAATCCGAGACAACAAGGTGCAGGGCTGGATGAACACAGCAGGCCAAGCAGCATCATAGGAGCAGAAAGGCCCGAAACGTCAGCCTCTCTGCTCCTATGATGCTGCTTGGCCTGATGTGTTCATCTAGCCCTGCACCTTGTTGTCTCTTGATACAAGAGGGGCCTGGTCACAGAAGTGAAGGAAATATTTGACTGAAAAATCTATGACTAGTGATTTTTGCCTTCAGTAAAAAAGAATTACTAGGTTTTTGAAAAAAAAATGAAAAAAGTAAAAGGGACAAAAAGGCAAGTTTTATTTTATTGTAAGAGTGGCAGGTGCCACCAGAGGTTGAGGTGAATATGATAGCACTGGTTAAAAGCCATCTTGACGTGTGATTACACAGGTAAGAGGGATTATGGACTTCATGGAAGCAAGTATTTCATTTAGAAAGGCATTGTGTTGGCAGTCTTGGTTGGCCAGAGAGCCTGGTCCTGTTTCTTATTCTAAGCATACTGCTTAACCACTGAAAAGTATTCCATCTATACCCACCATGAAAGTCCAGCAGCTCCTGATGTGTCCCAGAGCAATGGAGATGTACAAGAACATGACTGCATAGCTAATGATAATGGTGTTGATATCACTGTCACTCTCACGATTAATCTCATCTTCAATGCTCCGTTCAGTTGAGAATGCAATTGTCAAGTTAGACTCATTGTAAGCTTTCAGAAAATCAATAAGTCTGGAGAAGACAAGATAGTGTTATTTGGGCAGTCTAGTGCTTGACAGACTATTCTAAACAAATTTTAATCATTTGTTTTACTTATGAATTTTTGTAAATAGTGTTTTCTTCATTGCAGAAGTGTCTGCACCAACTCAAGACTGAGCATCTTTGCCAGAAATTCCCTTTTGAACAGCTCAATTGCACCTACCTCCACCAGGAGACAGCTCCCAACTACTCACTGAAGTTAGTTGCTGCTGATTAATTACTATTGAGAGAGAATGAACTCAGATGAGGCCTCTTGATCAAATACCTCCATCTGATTCCCTCAAAAAGGGAATCATCCCAGCTTCTAATCTTTAGAAGAAATGCCTCACTTGGTGCTATTTAAAGCCATTATACAGCTTAAAAGCACTCAGCACATTTGGCCTAAAATGTGGTGCCCAGAACTATATGCAATAGTTCAGCTGAGGCTAAACAAGTATCCTAAAATTGAGATACTCCTTGCTCTTGTACTTTGGGGCTCTTAAGTCCAGTACCGCATGCTTTAATTGTTCTTAAATCAGCTGTTGTCATTTTCAACAACTTGCATAGAGATTAAAAAGGATTACTTACGCCTTCTCCCAAGCTAAAGCTTTGTTCAGTTTCTCAGTGTCATTGTGATAGTTATTTACAGGGAAAGTGATTACTAGTGCTGTGGCATTGTTATAGTCATCACCTGTGGAGGTCAAAAATATCATTTCAGTTTAGTTTTCTAAATAAGCTGCATTCAGCTTCCAATGCAGGAGTGAGCTTTTCCTTTCAGACTCCCACAACTATAGTTTGAAATACAAATACTACCAAGCTTATTCTGTTGTTTTAATTAGAACAGAAGTCAGCAACCTTTTTCTTACCCAAGTAAATCCTGAACATATAATAAACACAGATACCATAGCTAGGTTCAAACATGTCCAGATTCACCAGTTAAACTGGCATCTGGGCTCAATTTTAGATAGGCAAGTAGTAAGTGGGCTTGTAGGCAGAAATACAAGTTAGGCTGTGTCCATCTACATGGTGCATAATCTGAAGTCTCTCCATGTTTGTGTACACAACTTCATTGGAGAGGACAGGGAAAGCTCAGTTGTCTGAGGACAATGCAATTCCTAGAATGTAGTGGTGTTTACCCTGCCAAAATGGCAACTAGAGACATCACTTGATTCAACAGCTCATCTTGGAGGGTCAAACAACTGTTCTTTGTGGAAGTTAGTTTAAAAACAGTCTAAGAGTACTGCATTGAGGAAATTCTATGCATGTAAAAGTCAGTTGAAATATCTGACCTGAAGACCAACGTCTGCTAAAGGTGTTTATTTTAAAGCAAGAATTTACTGCTCAAATCATTACAAATTACTATTAGAAATAGCAACTATGATTGCTGACTGAACTACTTCAAATTGAAGTGTTTCAATAGTGACATACAAACTACCGATTTTTAGTAGAAGAGCTTGACCTGAAAACAAAGTAAAATAATTGAATAAGGATCAGAAACACTTGCTCCAACTAAGAGGCTAGCTTACCATTATATCCACCTAGAACCAGCCATGGAAAAACAGGTCCACCAAATGTGCCCAAACAGGGATCGTGAAGCATAGTTGTATCATTCAGGGAAGCTGGTGCCCTGTTTTAAACAGAGTTTAAAATTAGAGTTGCAGTCAATTAACTTGGATTTCAATAGGCTTATCTTTAAGCAAGGTTGTAGCCACAGCAAACAAAATATTGTCAACTGTTTAAATCAAACCATAGCTACAAACTAATGTCACAAGTGAACTTCACTCATCATATCCTGCTCTTCTGAATAAGAAAATCTACTGGTATACGACAGGTTTCATGCAAGCACCTTCCATTCAATTGGATTTATTCGGGGGCTTGGTTGAGATTTTGCACATTCCTTCCCAAAAGTCCACTTTTGTTTGTGCTTCACAAATATTTGTATGACAAATCACAAGGCATTGTTAGTAAGTTTGCAAGTGATAAAAATTGGTGGTATAGTGGACAGAAGGTTATCCAGGAGTACAAAGGGATCTTGATCCATTAGATCAACAGGCCAAGTGGCAGCTAGAGTTCAATTTGGATAAATGAGGTATTACATTTTGTTACTAAATAAACTAGGCAGGATGGCATGGTGCCTCAGTAGTTAGCACTGAGCAGCAGTGCTAGGGAGAAACATTCAATTCAGCCTCAGACAACTGTGTTGAGTTTGCATGGGTTCTCTTGCGAGAAAAAAAGTGCACAGGTTAGGTGGCTTGATCATGGGAAATACAGGGATTGGGGTGGTGGAATGCTCTTTGGAGGGGAAGTGTGGACTAGTTGGGCTGAATGGGGGAGGGGGAATGAAACAAAACAATTCTGGAGGACTTAGTTGATGTTGGGGCCCTGGGTAGTGTTGTCAAAGTCATCTAGGGGTCAGGTGATGAGTTCCTTGAAAACAGGCAGGCAATCACTTGTGGACAAGCTGATTGTATTCAATGCTGAGTAATGAAGGCAAGCATGCTAAACACACAAGTTACGATGTCAACACGACATCCTACAGGATGTTGGTGAGACCACTTGGAGTAGTGGCCAGTTCTGGTCACCCTGCTATAGGAAGCACTTTAAATTGGTGGGTTCAGAAGAGATTTGCCAGGACTGGTGTTTGAAAGGAGGTGGGGACTGTCTTCACTCCTTATTAGGGGTTTAAGGGGTGAGGGGCATAGATAGGGAAAAGATCTTTGCTATTCACCTTGGATGAAGGGAAGATCAAAACTGCAGACATATTTAAAAAAGGGAAAAAGAAAAGACTGAGTGGCAACTTCAAGGAGGAGGAGGTCTGGAAGTGGAATGAACTGCCAGAGGCAGTGGTAGAGACAAAGTACACCTACAACACATTCAAGACATTTGGACAGGCACATGAATGAATAGGAAAGGCAGAGGGATATGGGCCAAATTGCAGGCTAAGTGGAACAGGTTTAAAGAAAGAAGTAGTGTCAGATAAACCAAAGGACTGACTAGTGTTTGTAGATAAGGTGGTCTGTGTTTATGTAGTGAGATTAAGCATGGTCAGTCAACATAATTAAGGCATCTATGTTTCAAGGTCACAAGTATAACCTTACTGAAAATCAGAGGACAAGCTATAGAGCTTTGTTGAAACAAAGCCTGTTTCTGAATGTTACTGCATTCTTTGCAGTACAGTCTGCAAAATTTTAGCTAATAGTCTGTTCAAAGCTTGATTGCAAGTGAAAGTTGCCATGCAAATAGACCCAGACAGGCATAATTTCAGATGGATTATTAAAATTGCAAGTCTGCCACAAGTGGAAGCAAGTCAACTGGTTCTTGGGCTTCACCACAGGTGAGTACTTTTAAAACAGCCTCAAAATTAGAGTCTAGGTGAGTACTGCTTTTGAAGTACATGTTCTTTTTTCAAATCTTATTCATCAGGCAATAAAAATTGCTCAAAAACAGCAGGTTTGACAGTATCTCAGGAGAGAGAGAAAAGAACAGAACAAGGCAGTACAGGCCTGTTGGCCCAGGATGTTGTGCCAACCTATTATCCTACTACTAGGAATAGTACCTTGCATTTTACTATCCTCCATGTGCCTATCTAAGAGTTGCTTAAAACTCTACAGTATCTGACTCCACTACCACTGCCAGCAGCACATGCCACATGCCCACTGTGTGAAGAACCTACCTGACATCTCCCCTATACCTTCCTCCAATTACCTTAAAATTAGGCCCCTTGTAATAGCCATTTGCACCCTGGGGAAAAGTCTGACTATCCACTGCCTCTCATCTTGTACACCTCTATCAAGTCACCGCTCATCCTTCTTCACTCCAGTGAAAGAAGCCCTAGTCTCCCTCAACCTTTCCTCAGAGCTGCCCTCCAGTCCAGGCAGCATCCTGGTAAATCTCCTCTGCACCTTCTAAAGCTTCCACATCCTGTAATAAGGTGACCAGAACTGAACACAATATTCCAAGTGTGGTCTAACTGGAGTTTTAGAGAGATGCAGCATAACCTCGCAGCTCTTAAACTCAATTCACCTGCCAATGAAAGCCAGCACACCATACACCTTCTTTACAACCCTACCAACTTGGGTAGCACCTTTGAGGGATCTATGGACATGGACCCCCAAGATCCTTCTGTTCCTCCACACTGCTGAGAATCCTGCCATTAACCCAGTGTTCTGCATTCACACTTGGCCTTCCAAAATGAAGGAGAAAGGGGAGCTAACTTTTTTGGGTCCAGTGAAGCTGGTCCCCTTGTTTTAAATATTGTTTAAAAATGGTGTTGCATTTAATTCAGTTGATGATTCCAATAGGTACCAGAGCTGAAGGGTCTGACCCAAAACATTAACAACACTTTTTCCCCCTTGACAGGAAGAGTCTGGCCTGATTAGATTCTGCCTTTTTCTTAAAGTGGTTCTTGACAGATTTCAAAAACAAGATAGCACAAGGATATTCAGACCATCACATTGTGCTTTGAAAGATTAGTTCAATATTCTTGCTTTGTCCACAGCTCTGTAGATTTTCCTGTTGCTAAGTTAACAGATTATGGGACCTGGTTTTGCACATCCTAGATGGGAGACAAACAGCATCTTTGGACTGCCAATTTAGGAGATTGGCACCCATGTAGCCAGTACTTTTAAAGTCTACCTCAAACCCCAGGGCATCATGAATTGTAAAGTTTTGCTCATCTTGCCCCATGAAGTACATAATCCTTATTCCAAAGATTGAAAGCTCCAAGTCATGGCAGATCATGGTGTAGAAGAAAGATTCTAGCCAGTTAATAGTCACATACCTAGTGCAATACAGGAAGTGACTATGGTAGTCAGCATATACAAAAAAGTCATCACCAACAGAATGATCGAGGACAGCATGACTGTTTTGGTAATAGTTCAAGACACTCAGGATGGTACAGTTATTGTTATATGGAGCCAATGGTGCCAAGCAGATGTCCTTCAGCTTCACAGTTTCATTTTTGTAATAAGCTTCCAAATCTTGAATAGCATCCTGTAAATCAAGTACCTAAAGAAAGAAAGAAAGAAGTCTTAAATTGGAAACAGCACTTTTCCCCAGTTAGAAAAATCAAGTGCCCTTGTGCAACAAGTGTTCTCTTGTGCCTAGGAAACATTAGCTGGTCTGTGCTGTACAAACTGAGCAATGTTTTGACTGTTAAGATTTTAAATACTGAAAAAGGGTTGTGTGGAGGGGGAGGTTGGAAGAGTGGCAGTATTTGAATGGCCTCTTAGAGCCAGCATGAATACAATAGGTTAATTGTCAGTCCTTCTGTGCTGTCAATCTTTTAGCACAATGGTTAGATGCAAAGTTTAGAAAACCAAACTTGCATGGTTCTCAAACAAACATTCTTAGGACAGGTTTAGCATGTCCACAGGTTGTAGAAACAGCTGCCTCTATGTTTCCCTTAACTATTGCAACATTAGTCTTGGAAAGTCCAGAAAGCTCTCTGCAGAAAGGGCAAGCCATTTTTGGCCAGATTTAAAAAAAACAACCATGAACTTCAGGGTGATTACACTAGCCCAGACAGTTGTGCAGGGTCAGTTATTCAGTTTGAACAAGGCATTTTAGATTTTGTTAATCTGAAATCTAGGGGTTTGGGGATTCTGTGGGAAGGCGTTTTAAAGTGGAAGATCAGCCAGATTTGAAACAGCATGACAGGTTCAAGAAGCTCAGTTTATTTACATCCACACTCCTATGGAGTGAGGCATCAATTGCATTCTCCCTACATAGAAAAATTTTAAAGGAAAGAAGTAATAAAGTAATTTACCTCCATCCTGGTTATCAGCCCTTGATGGATTTGGATGGGATAAAACATTGTGATTTCAGATGCTGAGAAATAGAAGCTGATCTCTTATTAAATTGCAGATTCAACTCTTGTGCACTAGGAAAGAGTAAAATTACTGAATCTAAAAGCACAAACCTGATGTAGGATGTCTTTGTCCAGTGGAGGGCCAAATGGCACATCTGACCCAGAGGGATAAGGAGAATAAGTGGTCCATGAACTATTTGGAGCTGTAACAATTAGCTGCTCTGTGCGGAAAAAAGGTCCAAAGTGGGTGTCAAAATAATACTTTTCCTTGCGAGCTTGGCTGGATGGGGCAGACCAGATTTCAACTGGATCAGTAGTTATTTTCATGTATACTAAACCAGAGCTACAGACTCCCACAGCAATAATGGTCACCATAATAACTAGAAGAGGTTTTCTCACACAAAAGGACCCCCATTTTGTGAATAGGTCACGCAGGAGAGCTTCAGATTTTGCACCAAGTTGTTCACAGCAAGAGATATTATCTGGAGGAGAGAATAGGAGGCAAGTGATCAAGAAAGTACACTGATGCCCCTTTATTTAGGCAATGTTTAATTGCCTAACAGAAGCAAGCTCCTTAATTCATTAAAGTGAAGAATCATTTATACAGCCAGAATAATCTGTTTTGTTTACAAAATTGGGTCACAATTTCAACAAGTGAGTAACCTACCTAAATCATGATGCCTGTTAACCACATGATTTGCACGAGGATCACTGATTGGTGTATATTCAGTCACCATGTGCATTTTCCTGTAGGTGTATTAATTGCAAGATTAGACAATGAATGCACTTCAGAACTTTAAATTACACTAGGTTTGGTGTAAAATTGTTACCTGCAATAAGACATGCTAATAACTGCTCCCCCAAAGATAGCCAGGAAGATCAGATAGGAGATCCACATTATAACAGCCATAGCATCTAAACCAAAAATGGTCCATGGGATAAGTGGTGGTGGGGGTGCTGGTTTTGGGCCACAAACCAGTGAACAATCTTGGCAACTGCATGCTGGTGAACCATCATCCAGTGTCTCATTGCAGCCTTTTGTTTCGTTATTCATTGGGATCATTCTTCCAATTGGATTATCTACCCAAAAAAAAGGAGAAAATATGTTTTCAGTACTACCAACCATGTCTACTATTGTAGTTGCTATCACTGTTTACAAAGAAAGCCTTGATAGTGCTATTAATGAGCAACTCCTTTCAGATATGCCAAATCTCTTGTGCCTAATTACATACTTCAAGGGGATTGTTCCAGAATGATAGAGGGTGAAAAATGTATTTAGTTGATATTGTATGTACAGACATTTTGCTGTCAATGTTTTGAAGCAAGGAAACCAGCACTTAAAATGTTACCCCCAGTCACTCATCCATTGTGCTTTAGGCAATGGATCAGAGCAGGCGAACTCATTTTCAATCAGTTCAATTGGAATACTGTTGAGGGTTTTAATGCACATTACACCTATTAGGAATTGTTTGGTTTAATTTTTCTAACACTTATTGTTAAGGCATTTGGATCTAATCAAATTAAGCTTAATGCAATAATTTCATGAAGCCTAAGAACTTCAATGCACAGGCACCAAACAAGAAGTTAACTAGGTCCTTGAAGACAAGATTGAGATTTACTTAAGTAAATACACATGCTTAAATTAAAAAGCCACAACTTACCACTGAAAATGGGAATAATGTTGAAAGGAGTCTGTGCATTACTTGTGCTACACATATATTGAATCCAGTTGGTTGCATTGCACTCTTTTACATCTTTTCCACAAAGCAACCCCAGAGCTTTGTCATTACTGGATGGTGACTGAACATCCTTACAGGCATTGTACATGGCTGGAAGAAGACATTAATTCAGGAGCCGTGGTCAGACAGTTAAAGTGCAACACTATTGTTTGCAACTCAGTAACTAAATCCTGCTTGATATGCATGTCTAGTGGTTTAAATAGACCATTGCTACTTAATTCCTACAGTGAATGACTTCCAATGTATTATTCTTGGCATGCAAGGAAGTTATGAGATTAAGTTACTTTGCATGGTAATGTGTCCAAACTCAAAAAACTGAAGTTAGTGAAATAATCCAAAGGAAAAAACCAACCAAATCCGAAACATAATTTTAAGAGAGAGAAATCATTTAATGCAAAGTCTGTCATTCTCCTAGAGCTGGCTTGAGTTTACAAATTCAAGAGGAGATGCACTGTAGTCAAGTCAGATTAGTCACTTGGCCACTTATGCAGCACTGCCTACATTTGCACACTGCCTTTCTAGTCATAGAAAGGTCTCATTCTGATGGGGTTTAAGACAACTAGAACATGACATTAGCCTTGGAACTAGTTGTTAGAGGATACCTAGCTGATCAGGTTCAGGTAAAGTTAGAGGGAAAAGAAAAACTGTTGCATGAAAGAAACAAAAATCTCAAATGAAGCATTGAATTGGAGGGATCTCACTGGTATGATGATTATCAGGGATGAGAGAATTTGTCCTAATGGTTAGGACAAGGAAAAGAAAAAAAGTCACCAGTGGATGACAGCCTCCAGTTTGGTGCAGTGTGATCTGACTGGAAGTAGCCAGAAATGTTACCCTAATATGTAGCCTCTTCTCCCCCAACCTGCTCAAAAATTTAAAAAAACAAGTGTCTTAGGATTACTCAAAGCCCACTTCCACTGCAAAGAAGAGTTCTAAAGAATCACAACCCTTAATCTTACATTGTGATCATGACATCTAGAACACAACAGCACAGTACAGGCCCTCGATGTTGTGCTGACCTGTGAAACCAATCTGAAGCCCATCTAACCTAAACTATTCCATTATCATCCATATGTTTATCCAGTGACCATTTAAATGCCCTTAAAGTGGGCGAGTCTACTACCTTTTGCAGGCAGGGCATTCCACACCCTTACTACTCTATAAAACTGTCCTCTTTCTAAAGAGAAAGTGCTTGTTACTTTTTCATGAAAGCTGGTCTCTCACCATTTGCAAAGTGTGATCCAACGTAATATTCTATTTCTGTGATGCTGATTTTGTCTTGAACATATTTCTCAAATTTGGTGGCATTCAGAAACAGGCTCTGAGTGGGACTGCAGGTCAGTTCACAATAAAAGGTCATAAAATTGTGGAAACAGGATGGACACCTGCAAGATAATGTTTCAGACAGATAGTCAGGAGACTTAAACAGCCTCTTTTACAAAAGAAAGAGCAATTTTATTATTAACCTCATTAGACTGGTCTAAGTGCTTAGCCCCTGTCCCCAAAGACCAAGCTGCTGTTCAGTTTTGAGCTTGTTCCAAATTGGTCATGATCTAAATTTACTGCATTTAAAAAAGCATTAAGCTGTTTTGACTGCACATCAAGATACTCTTGCCTAGCAAACTTATAGTTGTATTCAAGTCTTCAGTTGACATCTAACAGGATGTTGTGGCAGCCAGATAATTCCAAAATTTCTAGTACCCATGTTTAGAGATACCTATCACCCCTCTACCTGGTTTTAAGGTTATCCTCCTCATTCTGATTTTCTCTAGGAGATCACTTCAAATTTAAAGTTTTTTTTTTTGGTAGTCAGTCAGTCATTCATTGTCGTGGTCACTGAACTAGTAATCTAGAAGCCCAGGCTAATGCTCTGGAGCCATCATGGTTGATGGCATTTCAAGCCATGAAGATCTGGAATGACAGCCACTTAATTTTTTTTTTCTTTTTAAAAATGTTTTTACTGATGTCTTCAGGATGTAGGTGAGCCATCCTTATCCAGTCTGGTCTACATGACTCCAGATGCATAGTAATGTGATCAACTTAACTCTTGAAATAGGGATCTGCAACATGACAGTGACTATTTAATAATGGAATTGTACATTCCATTACAATAGGAACATTTAGATGTGTGAACAGACATGAAAATAGTGGGGTGTACACCCTAAAGGACGCAGTTCAAGATGGCTCACTTTCAAGAGTAAGTAGGGACAGGCAACAAATGCTGATGATTTCTACTTGTGGTGCCTGCAAATGAACTTGAAGATCAAGTTACTAATGTGGAACTCCTACAGATGCTGGTTATTAACCAGTTAAGGTATGGGTAGGAAGTCACTTAAAAAAACATGTTTCTTTTGTCTGTTTAAAAAGACAGCTTTTGCCATTTAACACCCAAAAGAATTTCCATGACCTTTATGGCAGCACTCAAAGGCTCAACTTTGAAAAGCCAAAGCCACGGTTGTCTTATAGATGTTTACATCACAAATGATGGTCACTCCAGTAATCCAGGGGCCTGGACTACACTGAAGAGTTTCAATTCACTATAGAAAATAAATTCAGAAGTGCTAGTCTCATTTCACTAGCCAATTATGCTTATTGGTCAATGCAACTGGAGTTACCTAGTTATATGCAGCTTCAGGCCTATGCAAGTGCATTTGATTCTTAACTGCTGTCAGATCACTAAGTTGGAGTTAGGTCCCCAGAGGGTAACAGACATGTAAATGAACATTACCTTACCTGCAAGGCTCACAGACAAACCCTTTCTGAAAATCAAGGAACAGGGGTTAACCTGAACCTGAATCCATCTTGGTGTTGATTATGTTAATTCAGAAGATAAGAATGAATACCTGGACAGGAACTGCAGTGGTAGCTGCATATTATCCTTAAGTGTTTGTAGTTGTTGGACATCACAGCAAAGACTAAGATTCCCATAGTGAAAACTGGGGCACAATTCCTACAAAGAAGAGTTAAAAGTCACTGTCATAACAGAAGACAGTTTATTTAACAAAAGCACAAAAAAGTGATTCAACTGTCAGTTCAAGATTAGTGAAAACTGGCATGTTATTAAAACAGCTAGGAGTAATTCTTAGAGCTTTACATTCTAAAAACATTGAACTGGAACTGTCAGCTTTATGTTGATGAGATTAGGTGATCAAAACTGTTAAGGCACCATGAAGGAACAGGGGGAATTCTAGAGCTCTAGACATGGCCATACTGGCTGAATGAAATCAGATGCTGAATAGGAATGCAGAGATGGAGCATGATTTAGATACATTTGAACAACTTAAAGTTACAGTGAAAGGAGGTTCAGAAGGATGACAAAAAAAAAACACAAGTGCAACCTGTCACAAAAGGGATAAATTTGCTGGATCAAGTTTATCTTGGAAGGCAGCAGCTATTGGGTGATCCTGAGGCAGTCTTTGAAATAAGAGTCCCATGTTGCATACACAATGTTTCCTGTTGTGGAGGACAGAAGCCATGAAAGGGAATTCAGGGGAAGACTTTGGCCCAAAAGGAATGCAGAACTTGTTTGCAGAGGAAGTGGCTGAAGCAACTAGCCAGAGATATACTGAAGAGGAATGACACCAAGGTGGCTCAGTGGTTAGCACTTCTGCCTCAGTGCTAGAGAGGCAGGTTGAATTCTAGCCTTGGTGACTGTGTAGAGTTTGCATGTTCTCCCTCATCAGCATTGGTTTCTGCCAGTTGCTCCAGTTTCTTCCTGGTCTAAAGACTTGTAGGCTTGGTGGATTAGCAGTGATTTAAAAAAAAAAAAAAATTGAGAATAGAGAAGTCTGATAGATTGAGGAATGGCTCAAAGTGGAGCATGAACTAGTTGGGCATGCTTGGCCTGCTGTGTTCATCCAGCCCTGCACCTTGTTGTCTCGGATTCTCCAGCATCTGCAGTTCCTACTATCTCTAGTTGGGCATATTGGTGTCTTTGTGCTGTGTATTCCATTACCTTACTAAATACAAAAATCAAGGCATCACTAAGCAAGATGTTTGTCTACAATTGGTGACCATTGACACTTAAACCAGGAAATCTGACTACAATGGATCAACTGACTGCACATTTACATCAGTGATGAATTGATACATTTCGTAGGCTAGTATTTCAGCTGGCAGATCAGCATCAGAAAGAGCCAAGCAGTTATATTGAGCCAACTGGTGTACCTGCTTACAACTAGAGCAAGTTTTTTTTGCAAGTTAGAGAATTAAAGATGCCATTTCCCCAAAGCTCAGTATCATGTAAAATTAACTGTTTTACAGCTATTTGCTGAAACCATAAAATGATTTCATTTAAAGCACTGATAAATCTTTAAATTTGTAGCTTCTCTGCTGGCATAAGCCAAGCCTGCCCAAATATTTAAGAGTTTGCAATAAAATCCTTCCATCCAGATGCTTCAGGATTTGGCAGTCCCACAGTTCAAAGTTCAGATAGTCATAGATCACTTACATCAATTAATTCATATCCTGCTTTTGGTAGTGCTTTTGGTGGTCCATTATATTTACAATTATACCGCTTGTGTGTGGCAGGATCTGTCCCACATTCTCCATACCATATGCAAGTTCCATCCTGTAAAAATACCTGAAGAAATGCAACTCGATTAATAAACAAATTGTAAGCAGTAAGAAATAAATTGGTTGAGACAGATACTTTGTAGTATTAGTGTACTGCAGTTTAAAGACATCCCATACTGAATTTGACAATTTTCTCCTACCAGTGTTTCCATACCTTTGCCAGCCCAGCCAGCAAGCTTTATCCATTGGCCAAGTGATTCTGCATGGGCTCCTTTAGAGGAGCCCGTTTGTCTCTTCTTTCCAATTTACTTGCAATGATTGAGGATTATCCAATTTCTTGGATGTGGTCCACTATGGTCTAACATTCAGCTGTGCAAGAGTGATTAATGACAGCATAGTTCTTCTGCCAATCACCCTAAAAACCTGAAATTGGGGCAAGTGATCCTTCATCCACTGAAAGAGTTCTTAACCACCACATTTCTTTTTAGCCTTCTCTAAAAAGATACAGCACCAGCTTCTACAATCCATTCACAACATACTGCTCTCAATTAAAGTCAAAGTCAATTTCAGTTTTTAAAGAGTGCCACTGGACAAAACTGCAGATTTAGAGAAGGCACTTGATAAAATAAAGTGTTATTGTAGAATAAGGCCTCATTTAAAGATTTAGGGAATAATTAGCATTAATAGACAACTGCTCAACTGGGAGCAAAATATACTATGAAAAAAGTGTGAGTGGAGTTCTTCAGAGTGTACTGAGACCTCAACTTTTTAAACATTGATCTCACCTAAAAATCAAAGGCATCATAAATTCAGGCAGACAGAGGTTGGCAGGAAAGCAAGTAAATTAAGACAAGGGAATGTGCAAATGGATATGTTGAAGTGAGTTAGCAAAAAGTCTGGCAGATGGAATAAGTTGGGAAAACTGAAGTTTTTGCTGGAGAATAAAAGGGTTTAAAAACCAGAACAGAATGTGTTCTGGTGCATGAGATAAATAGTTAGGATGCAAGTGATACCTGCAATTATAAATTTCTTTGAAGAGGAGCAAGGAAGTATTTTCATGTTCAATTATAAGACATGGTATACCATATTTGAGGTTGCTTCAAAATTTTTCATTTGAACGAAGTCAGTTCCAGAGGACCACAGGATTGGCCTTATCCAACTAGTGGTTTAACCCAATGGTCACAAACATGTCAGGCAAGGGTGGAGGTTTAAATAGTTACCATGAAGCTGGACTTCAACTAGTGCAGGAATTGAACTTGTGCTGTTTGTCACTGACTCAAGCCAGCCATCTAGCTCAGAAGATGGACATGCTTGACTCATTTGCATTTAAGTTTTAGGTGAATAGGCTGAATGTTAAGCTCCTGAGCAGTCTTGAAGTAGAGATGGAAAGGATATTTCCAAAAAAAAAAACACTAGAACTAAAAGGGCCACTTTTTCTTTTTAAAAAAACCATGGCCATCCATTCAGGACAGGCAAGATAAATGCCAGAGAGTTCAGAGACTGTGTACCTTGGTAGATCAAGGCCTGGGCTTTTGAATATTTAGACCCAGTGGATAAATTCTTGTTGGGTGGGGTAGATGGGGAGTCTTATTGGCTGGCACAGTAGGGTTGAAGGACTTAATGGCCTACTATATCATAGCATGATCACAAAACCAAGTTTCCAACAACAGTGAACCACTCAGTTCAGGAAGATTTGAACATGTGCAGCCAAACTGTCATCTGTTTGATTAAAAGAGTTGTTAAAAGCATTAACATCCCTTGGAAGTGCATTAGTGACTAACTAATGGGACAGTTAACTTTGATATACTAAGCTAAATACCACAGGAATTGAGTTGTCCAGTACCACCATCAGCTGATATTACCATAGGGAAGTAAATTCAATATTAGACATTGAAGGTCCAGTGGCAGGAATAAGGTCAGCAAGTACAGTTGTATATGTTGCTAACATTGATTAGGAAGGCTGTTAACCAAACTTTTTAAAACATCTATTAAGGGATCATCAACTGCAGATTTTTAGAAATATCCAAAACAGAGTTAAGACATTATATAGATAGAAACTAAGCAATTTTTGAAGCATTGCTTAACACCTTTGCAAGAACTTGACCTGTTTAGGGCAACACCAATTCAAGTTAAAAATCAAGAACCTTCATCCCAACAATTCCTCCAAGCACAGTAGTATGCTAAAGTGCCTCATCAGGTCAAACCTGGAGCTATTAAGCAAGTTTCAGAAGTGTTAGATCCAGAAGACAAGAGACCATGTCAAGTTGCTTACAACAATCTTGAACTTTAAGGTTGGAGTAGGTCTGTAGCTTGGGTTGTGGGTGTTGAGGTTGGTTGGCTTGCTGAGCTGGTTTGTTGTTCTGCAGATGTTTTGTTATAGTGCTTGTTAACATCCACAATGCAGCCTCTGTTACCAAGCACTGTAACAGGATGTCTCTGGAACAAACCAGCTCAGTGAGCCAATCAACCTCATCTTGATCTTCTCCTTTGGCTTGGAGAAGAAGCCAAGTAAAATACATTCATGTTTCCAAGTTGCTTTAAAAATAAAAAATTTAAAACAATCTTGCATTTAGAGAGAAAGTTACTGACTAGTCTACTTTTGTTCCCACCCCCAAAATCTCACCCTACACTTTGCTATTTAGGACAGTCAAATAATAACCCAGTTAAATCTATTCCAAAACAGACCTGGGACAAATCATAATGAGACTTCAGTATCTAATTTGCTCTTTGTTGTTGGGGCAGGTGGGAAGTGGGCAGAAACTGAATGAATGATTTCTGATGGCAAGTATCTTGACAATATTGCATTGTATCGAGAGAGAGAACAGTACACTTTTCACCAAGAAAGAAAAAAGTTACACAAGAATCAAATCAATTTTCTGTTCAAAAGAAAGTTGGGGTCTCATGCACAGCTTCAGGGCTTCTGCTAAGGTCTCTGCAAAGTGTTCTGGTCCTCCAAGAGTCCCACCCTGGGAACAGTAACAAAATGACAGTGCCCCAGGAGACCCCTGCTCTGCTGCCACCATGGAACAGGATGGCTGAATTGAAAAGATCACTTGCTAAAATGTGGGTTGGAGGCAACACACATTTCCTCCAAAGCCATAAGACAAGAGAAGTTAGGCCATTCAGCCCATCAAGTCTGCTTTGCCATTCAATCATGGCTGATAATGTTCCTCAACCCCATTCTCCCATTTCCTCCCCATAAACCCTTGACATTCAAGGGTTTATCTCAAGTCTTAAATATACTCAATGACTTGGCTTCCACAGCCTTCTGTGGAAGTGAATTCCATAGATTCACCACTCTGGCTGAAGACATTTCTCCTTATCGCCATTCCAAGAAGGTCTTCCCTTTACTCAGAGGCTGTGCACTCAGGTCCTAGTCTCTCCTACAAATGGGAGCATCTTCCCAACATCCACTCTGTCCATGCCATTCAGTATTCTGAAAGTTTCAATTAGACTCCCCCACCTCATCCTTCTGAACACCAGTGTATATAGTCCCAGAGTCCTCAAACATTCTTCATGTTAACCTTTTCATTCTTGTGAACCTCCTCTGAACCCACTCCAGGGCTAGTACATCCTTCTTGATTATATGGGGCCCAAACCTGCATACAGTACTCCAAACATGGCCTGAGCAGAGCTTTAGTACATCCCTGCTTTTTTATTTTGAGTACTCAAAATAAATGCCAACATTGCATTTGCCTTCCTGACTGACTCAACCTGCAAGTTTAGTCCAGGATGCACTCAAGAATTTCTCTTCTCTTCCTCCTCCCCCAATTTAGAAATAGTCCATGCTTTTATTTTTCAAGTGCATGACCTCACTTTTCCCACATTGTACTCCATTTGCCACTAGTTTGCCCACTCTCCTAACTTGTCCAAATCCTTCTGCAGCCTCCCCTCAATACTACTTGTCCCTCCACCTATCTTTCTATCATCTGCAAACTTGCTAGAATGCCCACAGTTCCTTCATCTAGAAGGAGAGTGAATAAGTGAAATGTCCACTTTTGCCCTTTTATATAATCTAGAGAAACTCAGTCTTCATTTATGAAAGTGGCTAGCTTACCTACATTTAATCTTATTCCTTATTTTCTTTTTGTTGGTCTTTGTAAGCTTCCTAGTCCTCTGGTTTCCCACTGCCCTTTGCCACATTATATGCTATCCCGACTTCCTTAGTCAGCCACGGTTGCCTCATCCTCCCTGTACCATGCTTCATTTTTCCTAGGGATGAATTTTTGCTGCATCTCGATTTACTCCCAGAAACTCCTGCCATTGCTGTTCCACTGTCTTTCTTGCTAGGCTCCTCTTCCAGAGAATTCTGCCCAGCTTCTCCCTCATACCTTTATTCAGCAATCATACTCTTACAATAGAGATGGAAAAGGATAGGTACATACAGCAGGGCAAGGTTTATAATTACCCTTCCCCTGATTATAATTGTTAGGCAAGAACTAGGTAACAAAATGGGCACAGATGCTGTCAGGGACTAGCACTATTGAAATGTGGAGATCGTTTAAGGAATGCATACTGCATACAATCGCTATGTTTGTCCCAGTCAGGCAGGGAAGATGCAGTTAAGTGAGGGAGCCTTGGTTCGAGAGG